TTTTTTTTTTCAGGTATGACAATCAGACCCTCTTCTACAAATACCACAGTGATACTGATTACTGATCAAAAGACTAAAATTGGTAAATTCACATGAAAAGTGAGAAAATGAAAATGGAATGAACAATTCTATTCAATTAGAAGCAATTTTAGAGAATTTTATTTAACTGTCAATTATTACCAACGTCTAACATTTCTAGTTTTGCTACATTTGGGTAAGCACATTAGGAAGAAAATGTAAATTAAATACTATGAAACTGTACTTTTAATGAAACACGGTCTTAATAGGATATGAATATATAAGTTTAGTGGTTTTATTGCATTGTTAGAAAATTGTATTATGAAAGATACAAAAAAATCAATAATGTTATTATCTCTGTTTATTTTACAATCAGTATGCCATCCTTTACCATTATGGCTTTANTAATGTTATTATCTCTGTTTATTTTACAATCAGTATGCCATCCTTTACCATTATGGCTTTAAACTTTCATTCTACCAAACAAGTTTCAAAGAATATTTTATTACATGCCTTAATAAAACATTTAAAATATTTACAAATTCAAAATAGATGTTTCATAACTGAAAAAAGTTCACCTGAGAATTCATTATAGCATTGCCATTTCTCTTTTTTCCAAGTTGTTAACGTGGCTGAGTGTCCACATGCAACCTGTATTGTCTACTGCATCAAATATATCTAATTTCTTATTTAAAACTGGTTAAGCATTAAGCTATAGTAAATTGTTACAAAACTTACAGATGGAGAACCAAGATTATATCCACATTTGTTTTGAATGTAATAATTTAACTCAATATTTGCTATAGCTATAGAATTCAAATAAGAAAAGTAAGGTAATGTTATTTAACTGAGATAGACATAACAGCTTTTTAAAAATCATCAAGCATTGAGATAGCCAGTTCATAACGTAAGGAACAATGATCATGTAAATATGCAATATATGAACTGAAAACAACATTTTCAAAATTCTGCATGAAGGAAAAGGCATACACTGTATACACATAATCCTGTCATTTGTCTTCGGCAGCCTCAAAAAAATTTTTGCCTTGAAACAAATTTTCTTAGAAAAAACTTCTTTAGAAGTTAATGTTAAAATAGACATAAATGTGTGATGCTATGCAATATATAGAAAATTTCCCTACCTTATGGCCAAAAGACAAAGATAAAAACTTTACCTGTCCATCTGTATTACAACTTGAAAATCATGTAGTTATGAGGTAGTGTAGTTACTTGTATTACATGCTGGCTATTAAAAGTA